TTTGTCATTTCTTGATCCTTAAGTTTTAAACAAAAACTGCAGTGTAATAAAAATTTAAAAACAAATAAAATTTAAGAAATAAGCCCTTTTACACCTTTTTCAGTATCATAAGTAGTTTATTTTTCATAATGAGATGAAAACTTTTAAATATGTTCACAGACTTCTTTCTTGTACCAATATAAATCTTATCATTTTTGTAAAAGTAGTGAGTAATTTGGGCAAGATGATATCGCCAATACTTTTTTTTTCTTTCAACAGAAATTAGAAGCATGCCATTGTTCTATTTGATACATATAATGCAACTAGTTATTTTTCAAAAGTTTTTAAAGTTAGGAAGATAAACAGAGATAATACAAGTTCGTCTTTAGACATTTGAAATGATTTTTGTTTACAGATTCATGGATTCAGATAAAACAATGATAATTTAATTTATGATAACGGATGATATCGAAAAACAATCTCATCCACTTAATATAACTTTAAATGTTCTGTTATATGCAAGACTGTAAATATATCTTTTATCTGCAAAATATATGTGGAGCTTTCATGCTTAGATGACAACTGGATTTTAAATATTTTTTCCAATCCCGAATTCATCCTTCCCTTCCAATGTCAGAAAATCATGTTTCATTGAACTTCTTCTCTTTCGTTTAAAATAACAGCCCTTTGAGAAATTTGCATTCCGCTTTCGATGAATTTCGTCTATTCGAAGGTTGTTATCAATTTCTATAACTTGAGATACTAAGTAAACGAACTAAATTTTATTCAGGAAAGTAATTTTCGTTTTGCTTGAAACATTGTTTTTATAAAGCAAGGAATTTTCAAGTGAAAAATATATATTTGGAATATCAGGTGTTCAAGAATACTCTCAGTTCCAATTTTAAATCGAAACGGGGATTTTGACATTGGAAAGCACAGGGATTGGGAAATGACTTTAATCTAGTTTTTCCGTGCATGGATATCCTAAAGCATTACACAATGTAATCATTATGAACATTGCTCTATATTGTGCATATTTATTCCTCACGTTTCCCGAACTTCATGTCACACCTCCCTCTACTGCTGTAATGCATAATGTTATATGAACGTTCAGATAGTTGTTGTGTTAAATAAAATAAAGGGTTATAAGATTTTTATTAAAGTACAGAGGCTGTTCTTATATTTTTGGACAATTTTCATTGTAATTAATATTTTAACTAACATTTTTATGTTTTAAATATTCTATTTGATAATCCTTATTCTTCACTATACTATAATTCCAAGAAAGAAAATGAAGCCTTTTGTAGTATCGGAAGTGATATTTTATCCCATTGCTCTCAAACAGCTTTTCAAACTCTAACGAGATTGTAGGTCGACGTTTGGACAACCCGCTTTTTAAAAGTCCAGAAGCTCAAACATACATTGGTAATAGATAAGTAGAATTTAGTAGGTATATGAGCGAACCGTATCGCCTCGATACCCATTTCTTGTTCCATTTTTTCCCCAGGAAATTAACAGCTCTGCTTGCTTTGTCCTGATGCAGTTCTGCCGACTGATCACTCTGTGTGTAAAGAAAATCATTTCATATTTGAAAACTGAGTATAAAATATGTTTTTGATAATACATGGAATTGATCTTAACATTTTTCTCCAGTCTATTTATTTTTAATGTGACTTTATATTAAAAACAAGTAACAATCATAAATCCCTTAGAAAAGCTTTCTTTGAATTCCTTGAACCACGTTTTAAGATTTTTTAAAGATTTTTTAAGAAAGACATTCATTGTTATCATCAAGTCTTTGATGATAACAATGAATGTCTTTTTATTGCAGTCATTTAAGTACATCCAAGATTCGTCTATTGTGACAACACTTTTCCATTTTTGCCCGCATAAATGTTTTTCATAAAGAATACTGCAGCGCGTTCTGCGTTCGGCAATATGTCGTGGAGAAAGACGATGCACATTATTTTTTTCGCCGTTTTAAGATTCAAATCAGAACTTAATGATTTTGCAGCTGTCCTTTGACTTGGTGGACTTTCGTTTAACATTAAAGTTCTTACTTTTGCAACATTCAAAATATTCCGTTTTTTCCTTGGATACGCATTTTAAACAATTTTTCCACTTGAAGATAATTTTTGAAGTTTTTTCCCCTTTGTCCTTTGTTGTTGACCGCATTACCTGTCGTAGCTTTAGACATCGAAAAATCCATGGCTTTCATAACCTTTTTTTAATTTCTAGATATGAATAATTTTCTTCGGAAAGAACACAAATATAGCATTCCTTCAACTGCTTCTTTAAATACCACATTTTGCATGAAAACAAAACTGTGAAGTAGCAGATGTTAATTCATACTTTAAAAAATATAACTGCAGTTAAAAAATTCCAAGAAGAAGTTTTGCTTTACAAAACTGCTTGCCTAAAAATGGACGAACAGCCTTTGTAACGCAAGAAGCCAAATTTCCAATTCCTCATTACATGGTGTCTCTATAAACCTTGAAAGTAAAATGCCGAAATATACGCACATTTACCAGCCATTTACATTTGTGAATTTGTTTTCAAAGTGCATTGTTTTTAGAGAGAAAGTGCTGACACGGTTTCTAGAAATACAGGGCATACACAAAGAAATACTTCTGTTTCATAAGTTACAAATAAATGTATTTCCAACTTTAAACGAACAGTCCCTTAAACATACAATCCACATCTTCAGCAGTAGAAACTGTCCTCTTTTTCAATGCGTTACCATATAAAGTTCTGCGTTTACAGTGTAACTTAGTTTCGTGCATATTTTTCTAAAGATAACCTAGCGTCATTCTCCAGAAGTCAAAGCTTTCTATGTGGATCTCTTTTATTTTTTCTGAAGCAACAATCGATGACCTTTTTCTAAACTATTAAACATTTGTCTTCCCAACTGAATACCAATTAAAAATATTATACTCTTCAACTGGTCGGAATTTCGTGTTTTATGTTCATAGCGATATGCACATGCTTCTCAGTCCTAATCTTCCACAGCTGTGGAAAGAAAGTGTTGAAAATGGAGATTTCCACCTTAATCATTTCGATTCCTGAATCATATACCACTCGATTTCTGCATTCTGGAGCATGTTAAGGACAATGACTACTTACTTACCGTTGCTTAAAGAGTTTCATCATTCGACAGCGCAATGGACTGAAGCCATCATATGGGACTTAATACATCGAGTTTGAAATATTATTTAATGCAAAGCTATATGACCCAAGAAGACTTTGATACTTTTGTCTTTGTCGGCACTAGCTAGAACTATTGTTGCTTTTTCCGGCACCTCAGATAATCACCGGTTGAAGTTACCAAGCGAAACAAACCTTAGGAGAATTTCCAGTTGGAAAGGCCTATAAATGCCAAGAAGCACACGCCGAAGAACTGCAGTTAACACATGTTAAATCTGAGTAGCTTTTGCGGTTGATGGTGAATGATATGCTTGCGTAAGGTGAAAAATAGTTTTTTGTTGTAAAATTGCACTCTTTTTTGTGTATGCCCTGTCTATTGCTCTTAAAAATAGATTATATTTACGCTAATGATAATTAATTTACAAAGTGAAGCAATTTGTAAGTATTGCCAGAGTGAAAGTTATTTAACAGTTGACTAGATGTACCTTCCAAAAGTACTTATATTATGAAGTTTATCAATGCCATTTTTTTCACAAATCTGCAAAACATATTCATTATTCTTAAATTTGTATACTTTTATTTTAAGCAAGAGAAAAATTTTATTTTCTAATTCTTGCATGTATATACGAGTATAAGATAAAAATATGTAAATCAAAATTATAATTTAAACTAACGGTAAACTCTTTAGTTCTCCCTCTCGGTTCTAAAAATCGTAGTAACTTCTCTGAATTGCGTCATTTCTAGATTTTTCCTTTTTGCACGGCCTGCTCAGCGCTGATGACGTAATAATTGTGAACTGAAACCAAAACTTTTCTCGTGCTTCCATATTGCATAACTACACACTTCAGCTTCGCTCTCTGCCCTGCTAGGATGTAATTTCGCTGGTCTGCTTTCTATCGCTATAATATCAATAATGTAAATGTTCTTGAATAGTGCCAAGCGAATTTTGGCCACAAATGTCAACTGGAAAATAAAAATGGAATTAAAACCGCTTCGACTGCCAAGTTTTTTTAGATATTATGAAGTCAACATATTAGCATACTAAGCAATCAGAGTTCCTCCTCTTCCTGGGAGAAATATTCCCCTTATTTTACTAAATGAAACAAGAAACGAACCTTTGCATCTTATTTTTTTTATATTTAAAATTTACAAAATTTCACTTCGTAAAAGCAACACTAATTGTTTATTTCATGGTTTGGAAAATAGTTTCTAGGTTAAATTCGCACTGCACTTACTAAATAAATAAAATTCTATTACTCATTTTTAAGCCAGTTTTTATAAAAAAAGCCATAAAATACTTAAACATTTTCAAATATATTATCATTGTTTAGGTTCAAATAACACGCCTAACAACGAATATTGGGAGAAGTTAAACAACATACTGATTCTTGTTGTTTAACTACTCCAATAATTAATTTAGATGTCAAACAAAAAATATCAGAGTTGTATTTGCAAATTTTCACAGGACTTGTTTCGACGGTTTTACCGAATCATCATCCTCAGCTGCCAAAGCACAGACTTGAGGATGATGGTTCGGTCGAAACTAGTCCTGTGAGAATTTGAAAATATAACGCTGATTTTTGTAAAAATCAGAGATTTTTCTATTTAGTGCGACTTTTCTTGAAATTAAAGAAGTATATTCCTGAAATGTAAACTTTATAAATTATTTCTGCATATCCTTAACATCATAGTTAATTTAGATGAAAACGTAACATTTATTTCTTTCTACATGAGTTACAAAATTAATATTAATGGTAATATTATGATGATACTAATAATGGATACCACAAACTGGTATTAGAAACCTAATATTAGAGCTATTCACACATAATATTAAATACAGTGGTTATTCATAACACCAACAAAAATAAACTTACATATTCAGGCATTTCGTGCGTGTCCGAATTTCTGTGATGATAGTTGAGGACAACGACCGTCATTACAACTGAGAATGCCACCATAATCATAATGCATGCAAAATACGTTCCTGCAAATAAAAGTTCTATTTTAGAAAAATAAAACCGCATTGAAAACTGGATAATTATGCACGCAATAAGTCGTTAACTGTTTTTTCGCGTTGGTCTTTAGAAACATTTAGAAAAATATGTAATTCTGAATTTTGTTATAATCGAAAATTGAACGCAAAAAATTATAAAGTTATTTAGTTTTATTTGTTTTTCTTTCATGTTTTATAAAATAGTTTAAAGATAATTTGAGCATGTAATTATATGATTTTTTCCTGTTTTTGTACACAAATAAAGCAAATAAATGAGGTCTAAAAATTAATTTAAGTGCGGTCAGATTAGCAAAAGACTGTATTATGTAAATTTGATCTGCACTCTTGTGACTAAACGCCACTGAGATTGATTCCACAAAACACAAGATTTCAATTTATTTGTCAATATTTGCTTTATCGTCTTCAAAATAATTCCCCGCCGTTTGCACCCAACTTATTTGACACATTGACTGCTGCGTCACCCGTAATCGGGTGATGGCAAAAATTCTGATCAGGCTGCGTCATCCGTATTCATGTAACGCTTATTTGAATATTTACGAAGTAAAGTAGGTATTCGAAAAAATAATGATTGTTGAATGGTGAAAGAAAGAAACGAAAATGATTGTTGCCTACAGCTAAATTCATTCCAGTCACTAAACTGAATTGTGCTCTCTTCGATAGTTTTTCTTTCTAAGCAACCAATTCTTGTAAAATATGATTAGTAGTATCTGCACATTTATTATCACTGCATTTATCAGTATCTGATATCAGAATCTGAGGATATAATTCTATTTATAGTTATCTTCTTGAAAAATCTAGGCTATTTCTCATAGCTTCTATTCGAATTTGTGTAACTCGTAATAGGTTTCTTCTTCGTTATTATGTGATTCATTTAAAAATAATTATTCCCTTTTCCACTTTGCAAAAAACTAGGGCAATTTTAATACAAAAAAAATGTTAACTATTCCTCACTACAGGAAAAATATTTGGAAAAGAAGAAATAATTTTTGAATCCCACACGCTTTCTTAGATACTTTGCTTTCGAGGAAAGATTTTCAATGAAAGGAATGTCCGAAATGTTTTATTCTAGACGTTCTGAACTCTTACTGCCAGAAACAATTGGCGCATAGTATAGCAGCCCTCGTGACCTGAAAGACATTTTTCTTGCAAACTAGCATGGTAGACAACGTGTTAGGCTAATATTTCCTTCATTCTTCGAAACATGTTTTTAATATCGTTTTCTTCAAATCCCTTTACATCGTAGCGAAATTTTCTTCATCAATATTCTCAACGGAAACTTTACTGCAGAAATAAGACAGACTCATACTGTTTCATATCAAGAGAATAAGAAGCTTGCGTAGCCTTTTTTTGCTAAATTTGTAGTCAAATATTAACGAACAACAGAAGTATTGTGAGCGGGAACATTATTTTGGTTCAAAATAAGTGTCTTGTTTTCATCACGTCTTTTTTTTACGAAGCAAATGCCCTGAATATACCCAATTGACAATATTTCTCTCATTAACACTTTGACAAGCTGGTAAAACTTCATCATGCAAAACAGCACGGCTATTAAAGAAAACAGCCAACATAACCATGATTTTTGACTGACTGTTAAATGATATTTTTGGTCTACATACAATTTTCGAAAACCATTTACTCGATCGTGAACTCTTTTTGGATTAAATGCCTGTAACATAAGTTTGTTTCATGACTGATAATAATGCGTTTTAAGAAGGATGTTACTTGAAAGAGCATCATCTCCATTTGAACTAGCTACTGTTTTCGGAAAAATTCACCTTGTTCGGAACACTATGAGAAGCGGCGTACAGCTAATCCATTTTTTTTTTTTTTACAATTGCTTGAGAAGATCCAAATAACAGAAGAATGTTTCAGTAATACTCATGATTGTTAAACGACAAACGAAAAATAACAAATATCTGACTTAAACGATGTGGTTTTGGTTAGTTCGAGTTGCTTGTCTAGAAGAGCGTGGTGCATATTGGATGCATTTTTGATTATCTTAAATATTTTATACAACGGAAAAATTCTTGCTTTCGATAAAGTTATTTTCCACAAAAGCATGTTTCAAAATTTCAGACGCTTTGTTGTCGAAGTTCCTTTGAGAAGACCAAATTTAATGTTCTTTCATCAATCTTATTAGTCATTTTTGAAAATTTCCAAAGCAAAAGTTCTTAGTTCATTTGAACATGAAGTTATTCGGAAACGATAAAAGGATATAAAATATGATTTATTGTAATATCACGATGAAAACTGTCACAATTTCTGAAAAGTTTACAGGGAATTTTTTGTAAGCATGTGTTTTAAATGAATCATTCCCGACTCATTTTGATCACAATATATTTCTCGTGCTACCTAAACTACCTAAAACCTAAAAATTACTAATGAATGCCCTTCTGAAAGCTGTAGTCTTATATAGACAGATGGAACTAAAGAATATATTAATATAAATTAATATTCACCTCTTTATGCTTAATAAAATTAAACATATTTGTTTATTTTTACCTCAAAGTATTTGACCAGATATTAAGTTTGTAGAATACTTTCAGCATACTAAATTCTTACTTAAAATGTGATTTTATGTATCAGCATCATAGTTGATATTTTTTTTTTGATTGATAATAATGGACATTTAAACTCTTTTGTAAATTACATTCCTTTCTGCATTATTTCGCATGTAATATTGTAAGTTTTCGCTTAGTTCAATTAACCAATTATTCAAATTTTTGTTATCTTTTCTGAACACCTCAACTTCCACTCCCATTTCCTCTCCAGGATGCACATTTAAAATTATGTGAAGTGAATATTTAAACGGGTGAATCTTGAAGTTTATTCAGAGCATGGTTTCCCTAGCCAACGCACGTTGCGAGTCTGTCCTTGCTCTTACGCGGAGTTGCTAATACGCCTTTTTGGCCATTGAAATAATTAACACATCGGGTAGGTTGCTGAGTCAACCTAGACTAACATTCTCAACTTAAAATGTTAGTCCAGCACTACTCTTTAGCTTTGAAGTTATTGTGTAATGATTCTTAAGTTCCACTCCAAGTTGTAGGTGTTATTGTAAACACTAAGTCCGTGCTTTTTCTGTTCAGAGTTTGAATAATAATAGAGGGTAATTTTTACCCTTATTCTGTGCTAGTGTTCTTTAAGATGCTGGTATTCTGTACCAAAATTCGATAGGTTCCTTAGTAGGACCTAGTAGAGTTTATGTTACCAAAGAGAACACGATCCTACAATATGTACGCTATAATTGATATATTAAATATAACAATTATTTGTATTTATAGTGAACGAGTAAAAGGCCAATTAGTTATTTATAAGACTTAAATAAATTATGCCATTATTTAATTCCATTTAGTTCTTATTATTTTATTTAAAGATGTTTAATGCTTTTTACACAATTTACTGTAAGAAATTGTTATGAAAACTATAGTTACAATTTTTCATTCTTAATTATTTGAAATTTTATACAAAATGGTAGATTGAAAAATTTAATTACTTATCAGAATTTTTAACATGATAATCAATTTAGAAACGTTTTAAGAAATTTTAAAGGATATTCGCTGCTAAAAGTTATTATTTTATAAAATTAAAATTTAATTCAGAATTGTTGTAGAAAATTTAAAATTTTAAATAACAAATAAGAATAAGAAGTTTATAGCTGAAATTCAAACACCAAGAAAAACTTAAAAATGTGTAACTGTTATTATAACATAATGAGCAAAACATACGTTTATATGTTAAAGAAACTTATTTCTTAATGAATATGTTTATCTTCTTTAAGTCCAGTGATTTTTACAAAGTACAGTGCCTGATTTTTACTCGAACCCATGTGAAAGGAAAAACTTAAAGCAAAACAAGATAAGTATTCTTGGTGAAGAAAAGTTACAATTTATGACAATACTATAATATACTAAACATTCTATAACAACCATGCTATTGAACATGCAGGAAAAAATGGGTTGAAGCATTCAGTTTACAACATGCTTTTAAAGCAAGCATATTTAGTAATTCATAGTTAATACTATTTAGATGGCTGCTAGTATCAAGTTGTTAAACTTATGTTTTTCCAACCAGGTTTTTATGAAGAATAGTTTCTCTAGAATATTTAACAGCAGGACTAAAAATTTCTCAGACATATATATAATTTTGAAGGAGACTTATGTTCCTATTTTGGAAAAATTTTGGTTACGTGAATTTTTTTTTTTTTTTTTTTTTTGATCTTCCAGGCTTTCATTAATAAAAAAGGGCTCAATCTTGCTACCAATAATTCGAAGCTAAACAAACAACAAAGATAATAAAATCTTTTGTGAATGCAGCATTTTAATAATTTATTTATAATATACATGTATTTTAGGATCACTTCAAAGAGAAATCTATTGGGGTTTCAATTAGGTATATTAATGCATAATACAAATTTTATATATATATATTATGTATAATCAAGTACAATATATATTAATGCACAAGTAACATATCAGTATATTTAACTTTAACTTCTTATATTAACTAAAAATAAACATTTCTAATTAACGTTAATAAACTGCTATTGCTAAAATGTAAACATAACTCATATTTTGAAGGTATTGTGTTCACAATACGTGAAGTAGATTTATTTAAAATAAGTTACATTATTTTAGCATGCAAGTACTAGATTAAGCTATGAAATACATATGTATTTTAGGATTTATGTGCAACTATACTCAACTCTATTATAATTGGAATTTGTTTTTAAGAGATGATCATAACTGAAGCTCTAAAGGAATCAAAATATTAGTGAAAAAAAATATACCAAGTGCAAAATTTATAGATCAGGTGGGTGAGCTTTTATACTTTTCCGAATTTAATAGATCGTAGATATGAAACTTGAGTTAAAGCAGTAGTTTGTATGCACAACTTAATATTAAAAGTTTTATTTTACAATACTTACGATCTAATAAAGGAAAAGATGGTTTACCCCATGTGTAACGTGT